GGCCATAATATTAAATGAAATAAAAAATTCATATCACATTGTTTGGAACTGTTTTTGGAAATATTTACCAATTACATAGTTTTAGATCATGAAATTGTCAAGAAGTAAATTTTATGACTGCATTTTATATATTTATTTTAACTCTTGTTTTTGTGGCTTTAGAAGATTTTTTTGAACTTGACAAAAGGGAATATGAATAGTTTTAAAGCAATTATTTAATTTTGGTTAATTTTTTTTAACTAAACTTTGAACACAAGCATTCAAGCCTACTGATTTATTTTTTATGAATAAAAAAATACAGTAGATATTACAATTTAAAAGAATTTAAAAGAAACTTATATTGATAATGTTTGGAATTCTAATAGTTCGCATTTTCAACGTTTTGTAATTTAAACCTGTCGATAACAATATATATTTTTTATAACTATTGTTTTAAACCTATGGATAACAATATATATTTTTTATAACTATTGTTTTAAACCTATGGATAACAATATATATTTTATACAACTATTTATTAAAAAAAAAATTTAATCTTTTGTACGCGATTGAGAATATATTTAACTTTGTTTCCACTGGTTTCAGGTTCCATCTTTATTTTCGCCAGCTTGATATAATGCTGTACTGCTATCACATTTTTACTTGAAATTATATAGTGTAGAGCGGGGCACAAAGGTCCAATTTGACTTTGAGCAATTATATTGTAAAAATCAAACCAAATTATACCACAGCCGAACAACACATATCAAACAAACAACTATCTGCCTATGTTCAGTAAAACTCTATTCATCATTGTAGAAATGTTTGTTATTTTGCTGTTTTTCAAAAATAAACTACCTTGTTTATTTTACCCTATAGGCAGTCTAAAATGTGACGTTCAGGGAGCATTCAAGCCTTATTCTTATTTTTAATTTTAAATGGATTTTACGAAATAATAGGTACATTGTTCAACCAAAGCAAAATATAAATGTCATGGGTACATTTTTTACAGAGATAACACTGTATATAACTTTGATCTGGTATTTTGTCAGAAATATTCTGCAGCAGAGTTGGAATAACTATTTATTTAATTTATCTCTTATAAAATAGCTTTTTACTGAATTTATTATTTTTTATCGTTTACACCTTTGTCAGGGTAAAGTTTTAGTTGGTACATTTTACCCCACCCATATGTAAGCTTTTATAGAGGTTATATAAAAAAAACTGTTGAATCTAAATTAAAAATAACAATACATTTTATGGAACAGTTAAATAACGCATACTTAAAAATTATATTAAGGTCTCGTAAACTAAATAACAGTGCTCACAATCAAAAAAACTAGCAACAGCAAAAAATACATTTGTTGCGGATTTTCAAATTTTTTTGTTTATCTCCTTATACCAACGTCGTGAGAATCAAAGTGATGGCTGATTACACATCTTCTTCCCTCTAATTACAAATATTGTTGTTAAAAAATTCTTAACTTTACTTGTTTTTCAAATATTGGTGGTAGACCGTTTTACCCGTGACCTCTTGATCTCCGCTTCACATTATTTGTTATTTATGTACATTTTTGTTAGCTTTTGAAAATATAATATAGTTCAACACTTTTCTATACATCAGCTTCATCTATAAATTTGCTTTAGCCACCCACAGCTATTGTACATACATATATGTATAAGTTCTCCACGAGTACAAAAAATACCGTACTACTGAAGTACTACTTACCATATCCGCTGTTTACTTATATGAAATGAAAATGTAAATAACTGGGAATCATCTTAATAAAATGTTCGAAAGTTTCTTCTCGTAAATTGTTGTAGAACAAATTTTAATGTAGTCTACATGTGTTTCATACGTGCATAGCAAAGTAATTGTAATGTCATATAGATCTGCTCGCGCAGGTACTTAAGTCGAGTCGTTTTCTGTTGACATCGATCAGTAGAAAACTAAATGATTGTATACTAAACCACAAGTAACATGTGGGTCAGTAAACCACGCTGCAAACTTGGACTCTTTAAAGCATTGTAGTCAATTGTAGTATGCAATCTAATTGTAAGATGAGGAATATGCGTCGAAATGATATGGTCAAATCAAAATGAACACGCATTGCCAATATATCCGAGTGCGTAATTACGATCTTTTCACGTATTCACCACGGTATAATAATTCCTAAATCTATGAAGCTGCGGTTCTAAAATCCCGAATTCAAGTTCCAGCCGATGTATTTCAATTTTGGCAAATAATTTTTCTAATTATTTCTACATCACA